TTTTGTCTTTTAAGAAGAGTCTCATGTAGCCTAGAGTAGCCTCCAACTGTATTGTAGCTGAAGATGACCTTGAGCTCTTGCTGACCCTGCCTTTTCCAAGTACTGGGTTGTAGGTATGTGCCACCATGCCTAGCTGAATCATACTACCATTTATATATGGCCCCAAAGTTTTACAATGGCTCCCCTAACTCTATAGCCTAATTTTATATTCCTTACAAAATACAGGTTTATATCTATAGCTCAGTGGATAATGGATGTGGTTCATGTAAATATTGATTTGATTTCTTCCCTTTATTTGTTTTTAAATATTCATATGCTTTAGGGTTTTTGGATGTACATGAAACTAATATTAAGAGTTTACTTTTGGGGGCTGAGATTAACTCTTAGTGGTAGAGTGCTTGCCTAGAATACAAGGTCCTGGGTTCAATCTTCACTGTAAAAGAAAATTCAGTTTTTATGTGATGAAGTGCATCTACTAGTTTTTACAGATGTATGTAGGCAATATTTATTTACTTTGGTCATTTCTACAGGATCACATGGTCCATTATTGCCTTTACCAAGTCGGTACAGAATGGGCTCTCGAGATACACCTGAACTTGTTGCATATCCATTACCACAAGCTTCTTCCTCTTACATGCATGGAGGAAGTCCCTCTGGTTCAGTTGTAATGGTTAGTGGATTACATCAACTAAAAATGAATTGTTCAAGAGTCTTCAACCTATTCTGTTTGTATGGAAATATTGAAAAGGTGAGTTTGGTTTTATATTAGCTTATTTTGGAATATCTAGTAGTAATTCTGAAAAAAACTACAAATACTTCTATTGGGAACATCTAAATTCTTTCAGTAATGACTCATAAAGTTTAAAAAATATATTCTCTATGAACTTATTTTTGCTGATAGTGATCAGTATAGATTGTTAGTGATAAAATATTTTTAAAATAACCAGTACAAAGGAAGGTCCAAAGCAGTAGTTTAATCCTTTACTAGTGTATTAAAGGCATAAAGCCTGTATAGACAGTAGTTGTGTTAATGGTTATTTGACTTCTGATTTTTAACTTTATGGTGATATAAAAGTGTTGCATTTAATAAAAATCATGCTTTGAATTTAGAATTTGGCATACTAGAAATATGTGCATTATTCTTTCTATAATGTCAAAGTTCTCACCCAGTATTGTGATTACTCTGTAGTATACTATGTTGGGTAAGCTGTGAGGTTGGATAGATTGGGTATATTAAGTGAAGTTTTTACTTAATATTAAGTTTTTACTTTAATATTGTGCTTATTGTAAGTCAAGGAAAGTCTATAGTTATGATCACTTCAAAGAGATTTTAGTGTTTAACATGTTAATCCGTAGAATTTAAAAGAGCAGTTATATTCACGGAGTTAATGTGTCTCAGAGTTTTGCCTGCATTTCTTGAATTTTGGGAGGGCTTTTTATGCAGTTGCCTTCTAAATGTCATGATAGGAGTATCTTATGAGGAGCAATGATTTTATTTTAGCTCAGTCAGTATTTGGAACTGACCTACTTTGACAGAATGTTTCAATACTGTAATGCTGTTTTCTCCTATTGTAAATGGTTTTAATGTTCTTTCTGTGGTGATAAGAAAGTACATGCTTGTGAGTCACAAGGATGTGGGAGGAGGAGTATGTTTTGAACATTTGTTACTCTTAGTTCTCAGTTCATTAATCTTAAAGTCTGATAAATAGCTCTTAGGATTTTTCTTTTAAATATTTTATCATTTTTATTTTATGTGTATGGGTGTATGTATAACATGTATGTAAGTACACCTGTATCATGTAATGCCCATGGAAGTCAGAAGAGGGTGTTGGATTCCCCTGGAACTGGAATTAACAGACAGTTGTTAGCTACCATGTGGGTGGTGGGAACTGAACCTGAGTCTTCTACAAGAGCCAGTGTTCTTAACCGCTGAGCCATCCCTCCAGCCCCTTTTTTTCTTTTGAGGCAGGATCTCACTATGTTGCTGGCTGGCCTGGAACTCAAAAAGATCCACTTGCCTCTGCCTCCCAAGTACTGAGAGTGGCATGTGCCACCACACCCAGCACTCTTGAGATTCTTGAACAAGAGTTACTGCCATTATATCATATGAAAAAGAGGAAGAAAGACCGCTTAACATTTGGTCTAAGGGACCAACCTATGGGATAATTCTGCTCAAGTAATTGACAAAGAATACATGAGATAATGTGGCATTTACTATATGCTACATTACAGTTGTACTTGAATAAAAGCAGCCTCTTAGCATCCTATTTGTTTTGTTTATGCTAGGGTCTCCTTGGCCCCAGCTGGCTTGAAACTTGGCATGTAGGCCAGGCTTGTCTCAGTCTCCCAGAGATACACCTACCTCTGCCTCCCAATTGTTGGGATTAAAGGTGTCCACCACCCTGCCTGGCTCTTATCATCCATTTTAAGCCAAGAGTGGACCAGAACTGCTGAGAACCTGTTCCTTCAGAATTCTCTTAGAACTGTGTTCCCAGAGGAGGGCTTACTCTTCCTTCTTTTTGAAATAGTATATGCAGCATGAAATAGAGAGGTAAGAGTGGGTCCCTTATCAGAGAAGACTTTACTCTTTCTGATTCCTACGGACTTAGACCAGCACACCGACAAACATGTTATCAGTTTAATCCCATTCATTGTAACACAAATGGGATAATCTCTGCTAAATAGTATGCTGCAGTGCTTTCTTGAAATACCCAACATCCACACACATGTTCATACATGGGTTTGGGTCCACAACAAGGAAAGGTCATGAGAAATTGAAGTTCTAAATGGTTTTTTTTGTTTTAAATTTTATTTCTTTTTGGTCTTTTTTTGAGACAGGGTCTCCCTGTGGCTCCAGCTGGCCTGGAACTCACAGAGATCCGCTTGTCTCTGCTTGTTGAGTGCTGGGATTAAAGGCGTGTACCACTATGCCTGGCTGTGTGCTTTAGATTACTGTAGGTGCTCTAGGCTCCAGTGAGCCTGTGCATTTTAAAGAAGCTGAGAAAAGGTTATCTTTTTGGTTGCAAGGTTAAGTAAAAAGTCATTTGTGTAGAGCATGTCCATATTTTAATAAAAAGTCATTCCCACAGGATAGATTTTAGCAACACTGGGAAAGTAGAGCAGACTCTTTTCATATAGATAATTGTCTTAGACTCAGTATTTAGTTTAAATCTAGGAACTGCGTCATTTATTACATAGTACTTTTTTGCCTTTTTAAAAATATACTGTTTTATGTGTATGAGTATAGTGCCTGCATATATGTAAGTGCATCCATGTTGTACAATGCCTGTGGAGGTCAGAAGAGGGCATTGGATCCCCTTGAACTGGAGTTACAGATGGTTGTTAGCCACCATGTGGGTGCTGGGAACTGAACCCAGGTCTTCTGCAAGAGCAGCCAGTGCTCTTTACCGTTGAGCTATCTTTCCAGCTCCCTCTGCTTATGTTTTTTACATATGTCGGTGGGCAACTAGATTTAGGCAGTTAATCTACATCTTTAGTTAACAATTACCTCATGATTTGGAAACTTAAATCACTTTCTGGTTTATTATTTAACTATACTGTTTTCACTCTAAGTACCTATATTACTTTAAATGATAGATTATAATACATAAAACTCAACCATCATAATCCTTTAAGTTTAAAAATATACATCTAAGTGTTAACAAAAACAATGAGTCTTTCTGTAAGAAACAGTATATTTTAAAATGAAATGTAGATCTTTTTTAAAGGTTAAGAACTCATTCAATTTTATGTCCTACAGGACTTACGCTGAGTTCAATATTGTGTAACTATTAATTCAACTGTGAATCTAAAATTTTTATAGCCACTTTTGAAAGAGATGTATCTTTGCTCTGAAAATTGTTATTGAGTATGTTAAAGCTGTAATGAAATGCTTCTTCTAAAAAATAAAAAATAATTAAAAATTTTTTTAAAAACTTCAAAAGTTAAAAAAAGAATTAAATTTTTCCAATGTTTTGAGAGGCGATTTTCAAGTATAAACTGTATATTAAAACTTGAAGTGATAAAAATAAATTCCATGCTGAACTTTTGATTAAAATATGTTCTCAGTATTTTGAAGGTGATAGGTAGAAAAGTGTACCAAGGTGTGCAACCTAGTGTTCTTTAAGAACTTTTAAAAATGCTCTACAGTGTATTACATATCTCTGGGCCATGTTGTATTATTTGTTATATAGCATCTTGCTTATTGCCTTAACAACTCTTTATAGTTTATAATTACTGTTTAGTCTAAAATTTCTGATTTCTTTACAACAAAGGATCAAAAATTATCATAACATCTACAAAACCTAGCACAGTGCTTATCAAAACATGCTAGATACTGAAATGTTTGTTGAATGAATATTGATGAATATAGAATGAGTCCTAAATATCTCCATTTTGTAGGGAAAATTTGTAAATTAGAAGTGAATTACCTCTAATAAAAGAGCTTCAGACAGGCGTGGTGGTGCACGCCTTTAATCCCAGCACTCCAGAGGCAGGCTGATTTATGTGAATTCAAGAACAGCCTGGTCTACATAGTGAGTTCCAGGCCAGCTGTGGCTACAGGGAGACCCCGTCTCAAAAAGACCAAAAAAAAAAAAACAAAAAAAACAGAGCCTTGGCATAAGCCTGTGTTCATTTGCTATAGAATACAATTATGGTCTCCCCTTTCAACTTCATTGAATTTTGATAAGAGTTAAGGCTATCTCAAATGACAGAATGGGGTTAAGATTCTAAGAAGTGATCTTCTGAATTTAACTTTAAATAATACTAAGTAATTAAATGGTCACTTTGCGGGGGGGTTTTGTATTTACAGGTAAAATTTATGAAGACCATTCCTGGCACAGCACTCGTGGAAATGGGTGATGAATATGCTGTAGAAAGAGCTGTTACACACCTTAATAATGTCAAGTTATTTGGGAAAAGACTTAATGTTTGGTAATTACATATCTTGTTATAAATGATAAGAATATTTTTAAATTCCTCTTTAGAATATCTTGCAGTAACTGAGAACACATCTGAAGTAAGAAAAGCAGTATTCTGATTTTGTATGTTAGGGTTGTGTAATTGTTCTGCCTACCTATACCTAGTTTTTGGTTTTATAGTCATAAAACAAAAGTCTAACTTGAAAATATATTCAATGCATTTTTTTCTAATTAATTCTTAAAATATAAATGATTGATTATGCCAGATGTGGTGGTGTACCAGCTCTTGGGGGCAGAGGCCAGTAGGTCTCTTGAGTTCTAGGCCAGCCAGGGCTATGTAGTTGACACTCTGTCTTTAAAAAATAAAGGCATGGTGGCACACGCCTTTAGTCCCAACACTCAGGAGGCAGAGGCAGGCGGATCTTTTTGTGAGTTCGAGGCCAGCCTGGTCTACATAGTGAGTTCCAGGTGGTGGTGTACCAGCTCTTGGGGGCAGAGGCCAGTAGGTCTCTTGAGTTCTAGGCCAGCCAGGGCTATGTAGTTGACACTCTGTCTTTAAAAAATAAAGGCATGGTGGCACACGCCTTTAGTCCCAACACTCAGGAGGCAGAGGCAGGCGGATCTTTTTGTGAGTTCGAGGCCAGCCTGGTCTACATAGTGAGTTCCAGGACAGCTGGGGCTACAAGGAGACCCTGTCT